AGTTGCAAAACTATACCTGCGCGTGCGATCAACTGTACCCCTAGTGTTGATCGGCAATCACAAGTTAGTCATGATCAGCTACAATTTTGCACTGAGAACTTAACCTTGAAGCAAGGAAGTAAAGCATCAAAAGACCTGATAATATATACGTATGTGTATGTATATCAAATTACTCTGTGATTCCTCACTTATAAAATATAACCCAGTATCATTCGTGATGACAATTAAAACATATGTAGTTGAAACTTGAACATATGAAAACGTTTTCTGAATTGCCGTTGTTTGTATTTTGTAAAGATTCTGAGTGGATTTTTCAGAATCTTCAATACTGTAAGTAAAATACATGGAATTGATTGTGTATTTATGACATCACACCTGCAGATATAGCTTTCTGAATGTAAATATGGCATCAATTCTGCCAGCAGAAAACGAGCTTCTTTACATGCAGAACATATAAAGCCATGGCCCATGGCGAGATTTGTTTTTGTAACTAAAAAAGAAGCGAAATAAACGAAATACACTAAACGAGCTTACAAACTAAGACAGAGAAAAGAGAGAGAAATACACGGCATTGATAACTTTAAATATCACGCGAAAAATTATTAATTATTGTCGTAATAGATTTTTTGAAGTTTAGTAAATTTCGTGTCCGCATGTCCGCGTTTTCCACTTGACTTGCATGTCCGAGTTTTCCACTTGACTTGCGTGTCCGCATGTCCGCGTTTTCCACCTAACCAAATTAATCTTCCCAATTCACCTTCCCAATGCATACAGCTCACTACGCGACAGGTAAATGAACGAGAAAAAAATTACGGCAAAGAGAAATTCAAATTTGTTCGTGCTCACTCTGGGATCGAACTCACGATCCTCAGCATTTGTTCTGAATGTTGTTCCTGCATGCCACCACGCCTGTCACCACGCCTGTCAGCCAAGCCTGTCGTTATTATACTACAGGATACTACAATACATCATGGCTACCGGCTGGCAATATGGCTATCAGCCAGGCCTGTCTGTAGTATACTATAGTTGCTGCCGTAGCGAGCGAGCGAGGCAGCAGCCTAATCTTTATGTGTATATATATATATATATAAGGCAGATGAAATCTCGATCGTTTCGGTGTATTTCGGCCTACTACAATGCACTGCTTCTGGGCCGGCAAGCTATTCTTGCCTAATAAAGAGGCATAAGGCAAACAAACAATGTGATCATCTTTCATCTTTGGTTTTATTTTATGGAAAGCCATAGCTGGCATAAGTGATCAAACAGCATTTTGTCGATACGCAGTGGTTCGAAGGTTACGGCGCGGTGGTTTCGCTATTATACGCAGCGGTTCGAGCATTATACGTGGTGCTTTCGCCATTATACGCAATGGTTCGAGCATTATATGTGATGCTTTCGTCATTATACGGGGTGCTTTTAACATAATTTCCATATTCTTTCCATGTATGATGTATATAATCTCACGATTGCTTAATAAATCTGCTAGGCCTATGTGGCTGTGCTTTTTGCCTATGGTCTGCAATGACAATGACATGCTTTTAAAAAGATTTTATTTATAAAAAGGTGACTGCACTTTGTGAGTTCTTATATATTATCATATAGTGTTGATTTATTAGTAATAAATGTGTGTATATAACATAGGTATATAAATTAATATAATGCAGCAAATGTGTGCCAAGCAGTATACCGTATTTACTCGATTGAGCGCCGCCCCCGATTGAGCACCGCATTTGAGATAAATTTTTTTAAAAGAGCTCCGCCCCCGAATTAGCGCTGCACTAAACAGTGTAAAAACTTTCCGCATCAAAATTGGGACATTTAGTGACAAAAACCTTTTAAAACTTGTCTATTTTATAGTTAAAAGTTCTTGTCATAATTCACAAATAAAATATTTTTTAAAGAGCACCGCCCCCAAATGAGCGCCGCATCTGAAGTTCTAAAAATTTAAAGAGCGCTGCGGCGCTTAAACGAGTATTAAAATACGGTTGGTAAACGCGGCTGAAATATGATATTAAAATCTTGAATGTGCCGTATGATTTAAATTATGTTTTAGGATTTAAAGCCTTTAAAAATGCTTTGTCATTTGTATCTGTACTTGTACTGCATCAAAAGGCAGTGCGTAAGTGAACAGATTCCACATGTGAAACCGGTTGTCTTGTATATATTTTTGCCTTCTTTGATAAACATTATTAAACACACAAATTTAGTGAGACGCACACTCGCACATGTTAAATGTCACCTGCATGTCATTGTCATTGCCCTTTAACCCCTGGTCTAAATCATGATTATTGAAGCGGGGGCCGTTTTGACTTTGGGCCATTTTGACCTAGCACCGTATTTGTGGGAAAATTGTCTATACAATTTTATATACTAGATATCACAGCCATACCTGCCATTTTGATCTTTTCCTCGCGTTAGATAAGTTGATAAGTACACTCGTTCTTGTTAGCCATCGTACCTGTTCGGCTGTTCCTCTTTCGATACGAAACTTCAAGCGCCGAGTTATCATACGGCACATTCAAGTGTATAAATTATGGATGATTCCAATTCATTACGAATATTTCTTACTCTTATTCTTTAAAATATTAATAGGCAATTTTTTTTCAATGTCACATATTTGCAATGAAAAGTGTTCAAAATCTAAAATCTTTTTGGCGTTCCTCTCAAAATTACTTTGTTTTAGCTTTATTCTCTACAGTTTATAGAGAAAGCTACCTTTTTAAATGCATCTGCCGGTTGAGAAACATAAAATAATAGTTAAAAATTGCCAATTAAAATACAGTTATCAATGATGCCTTAAAATTGACGCTATATTTACAGCCATTTAAGCAAAACGTACTGAACTTCAGACATCATTTTCTCTTTGGCGTATCATCTAAAATCTCTTCATTTTAGCATTATTTTACAGATAAAACACTAAACATACTTTTTTAGTTGTTTTTTTAACAATTGAGAAACGTATCGAAAAATAAAAATTTTGATTTTAGTCCGGCATAATCTCATGTGGTATATTATTAAATACGCACTAGTTTTTAGTGCGTGTTACATAACATACAAAAAATCTCATTGAAAGATTTGGGAACAATGCTATACCAGGGCAGCATTCACTACCCTGTGGGTAAACTAGTATAGTACAATACATTGTGGCTACCAGCTGGCAATACGGCTATCAGCTGGGCCTGTCTGTAGCATACTAATAGTATACTACAAAACATCACAGCTACCAGCCTGGGTACGTTATTTAACTGTAATACAATGCTACAATGCAATACGACTGTCAGCCAAGCCTGTCGGTAGTATATTGTAGTATACTACGATACAACAGGGCTACCAGCCAGCAATATGGCTATCAGCCGATCCTGTCTGTAGTTACCAGCAGAGGTTATTTTTAACTGTGATACGACACTACAATGCAATAAGGCTATCAGCCGATAACTGGGCCTGTCTGTAGTATACTATAGCTATAGTATACTACAAAACAATAAAACATCACAGGCACCAGCCGGGGTTATTTAACAGTAATAATAATATATATCATACTGTAATAATATATTATATTTTATATATTTGCTATCACCTGTGGGCCTGTCTGCAGTATACTATTGTATACTACAGACAGGCCCGGCTGGTAACCTTGATGTATTGTAGTATACTACCGACAGGCTCGGCTGACAGTCTTATTGTATTGCACTGTAGCATTGTATTACAGTTAAAAATTGTAAGTATTGTATTGTAAGAGTAGATACGGCTCCGGCTGTTACTGTACCCTTGGCTGTGTACAATGGTGTACGTATTTACGCAATCATAAATCGCGCTGGCTAAGAATGACCTGAATATATACAATAAATTAACATATATTCTGTGTAAGGCATGGTGGCGTGCGGGAACAATACTCAGAGCGAATGCTGAGGATAGCGAGTTCGATCCCAAGTAAGCGCGAACGAATTTGAATTTTTCTCTTTGCCGTAATTTTTTTTCTCTCGTTCACTTACCTGTCGCATAGCTAGCTGTATGCTTTGGGAAGATGAATTTAGATGCATTTCGATGATTTTCGAAGATGAATTTAGATGCATTTCGATGACTTATGACTAACTTCACTCCTCTTTGCACGATCACTAAGCCTGTGTATTGCTGTCTACAGCATATTCGGGGCATTCTGATGATTAGACTGATGAATTTGAGAAACAAAAAAGAAAAATTGCACTTTTTAGCAACAAAATATATGTAAACAAACCGTGCAAACAATTTGCTAAATGTTGACAGTAAAATAATGTACAATCTAATATAAAAACAGATAAAATGTAAACTATGAACGAATATGAAAACTCATTTGGCCTATATAGAAAAATTTACTTCAAACTTATCATAATACAGGCTTCTTTTGGCTTCTAAAAAACTCAAAACAAGTAAACAACTGTGAGCTTTCGGGATTTCCTCGGCAAACTACGTCACAAGCCTGCTGACGTCAACCTTTTTATAAAGGTCTATTACTAGAGTTAGATATACCATTTATATATAATAAAAATAGTAATGGCCCTAGAACAGAGCCTTGAGGAACGCCACATTTAATTTGTTTTCTTATTGATAGTGTTTTATTAAATTTAACAATTTGTTCACGTTCTGTTAGGTAGCTTTTAAACTATTTGTGAGGTAATCCTGTTATTCCATAAAATTCAAGTTTCTCAAGTAGAATTGAATGGTTAACGGTATTAAATGCTTTTGATAAATCTAAAAATACTCCAATTGTGTACTGATTATTTTCAATTGCTTTTCTGATTTTCTCAATCAAATGAGTGATAGCCATTGTTGTTGATCGGTTATTTCTAAATCCATATTGATTGGTATGTAAAATGTTATTTTTTTCAATGTAATCAATTAACCTTTTGTACATTAGCTTTTCTAAGATTTTTGAAAAGCATGAAAGAACCGGAAATTGGTCTGTAGTTATCAAATTCATCATTTTTTCCATTTTTAAAGATTGGTGTTATAGAGAAATTTTTAGTTCGTTGGGAATAATTCCTGTTTTGAAAGATTGATTAAATATGTGACAAAGTATGGTACTAATCTTATATCCTGCTTCTTTAATAATTTTGGGGTGAATCTCATCATGCCCATGACTTTCATTAGCTTTTAAGTGTGATGTTATTTGTTTCACTTCTGATTTTATTTCAGATAGAAACATTGAATTTGTGTAGTTTCCATCTAGATGTTTTTTATAATTTGTAGAAATTTGATCAAATTTTTTTAAAAGGTTAGGCCCAATATTGCAAAAGTAATCATTGAAATTGTCCGCTATTTTGTTAAGGTTATTTATATATTTTCCTTTGTGTAGGAATGATGTTGGTAACTGCAGTTTTTTTCTTTCGTATTAGTTCATTTATGACTTCCCATGTCTTTTTCATATTACGCATGTTTACTTTCCTCAATTCTCTTACTGAAGTAGTTTTTCTTTGCTATTCTTATTATGTGATTTAGCTTATTCTTGTAGAGTTTATATTTAGTTTCATGTTTTTTTATTAGGATACTTTATGAATCTTTTATATATTTTTTGCAGAGTTCCAAATGCGGCCCTTTAAGCCTGGAAACCCCACTTTCAGAAAGTTTCCAATTTAGGCAATTAATTTGTAAACTTTCCAAAATTAGGCAGGAAGCAAAGCACAAACTAAGCTTTGAATAATGGCAGTGAAAGGTTGCAATAAACTGTTAAATATACATTGAAATCTATCATAATAATTTATATATTTTAGAATTTTTAAATAGTTTATAAGCAGCTTATGGATTGCCTTCACAACCGCATATATGTGTTATATTTATTCCCTGATGGCTGATCTAAAAGGCTTAAGATAGTCAGATCATGTTTCATTGTAATCTTACTACGATTGTCAACGCATTGGCTTCCAACCGTGACAAGACGTCATTGCCTATTTTGTTAATCCAGAAAACTGGAAACAACCTAGTTTTAATGACTCTAGGTTGTTCTCAGGCTCTTGTGCACTAAAAACTAGGTTGTTTCTAGGCCCTGCGCACTAAAAACTAGGTTGTTCTCAATCTTCTCAAGCAGCCAAACTCCTTGGTCAAGTAAACATCTGCATGCCTAACATACCTACAATCATTGACAAAATTAATTGAAACGATGTCTTACAAGAGATCAAATTTAAAATGAGACCGAAAATTTTCCACATATTTACGTTTATTCTCTCTCAGATAGCCCCCTCCCCCCCCCCCCCCCCCAAACAATG